CGGGAGGAGGGGGGCGCCGGCTTTGTGTCGAGTGCGCGTGCGCGCCGGCGACCGCGCGCCGAAGGTCGGGCCCGGGGCGGGACCACAGGAGCGCCGTGCGCGTGCGCGTGCAGCTGCGTGCTAGTGCGCCTGCGCCGCCGCCCCGCCCGCCCGCGCAGGTGACACAAAGGGGCTCGGGGACCCCCGGACTCCCACACCCGGGACCCCAGGCGCGGTGTGCATGTCCCGCCGGCCCCTCCGCTTGCGGCTCGGCCCCAGTTGGCGGGGCCTGGCAAGGAGGCCGGCGCGCCGGTGACCTCGCGTCCTTCGGGGCCGGCCCGCGGGCCGGGGGGACGTTGCGGGGGCCGCGGTCTCGGGCCCCAAGCACGGGCGCACGCCGCCCCTTCGCCGGGTGTCCCCGCAGGCTGTGCGCCCTTTGCGCTCTGTACCCACTTTCAAAGTGTCTGAAGTGATGCGTCAGCGGCGGGGGGAGCCGTTCCTGCTCGCCGGGCAGAGGCGGCGGCAGGGCACCCGCCCCCTTCGCTGATCCCATCGTGTTTCCACCTGAGTAACCGAGCAGGTGTGCCCCGCTCGTTTGTTCCCGGGCACCTCGCTTCCGCCGTGTTTTGAAAGGTGTCAGAAGCAGGCACTCTCCGTGCCCGGGCAGCGCCGGGGGCCCGGAGCCTGGGCGGGTGGCAGGCCGGGCGGGGGCACGGGGCGGTGTCGGTTTGCGGGCCGCTGTGCCCACTTGTCATGCCCGCCTCTCCTGCCACCTTTCCCAGGCCCGAGTTCCTCGCGGCTTCCGGCCACCAGGCTGGGGCCGCTTCGGGGCGCGGGCGGGGAGGCACCCTCAGCTTCCTCCCCCCATGGCCCTGCCCCTGGAGCCTGCAGACGGGGCCGCGGGCTCCCCAGGCCTGTGGAGGGAGGGGCTGCCGCCGCACCTGGACTGTGGGTTTGGGCGGCGCTTTCTCTGGCTGGTGCCGGAGGGGAGGGAGGGCACCCCCCCACCCCGGGCTTGCCGGGAGGACGACCTTTTTAAAAAGCTGGTAGCGACTTGAGCTGGGAGCTTGGGCCGGGCAGCCCCTTCCTGGTGATGCTGTTCGCTGTGATTGGCCAGGGCAGCTTTGTCCTCTGGTTGTGGGGAGGGAGAACCGCCTGCTTTGGAGAATAGGGCTGGGATGGGTTTTCTTCCGGGTGCTCAGAATCGAGTCCTCAGGCAGGTGAGCCCCTTAATCAGCTCCAGCTTCCGGCGCGGCTGGAGAGATGGGCTGAGAATGGTGGCGCCCGCGAGGACTGCAGGTGTTCTTACACCACGTGGCCCCGTCTTTCCCTTCGCCAGGACCCCCCCTCTCCTTTGCAAGAGTGGGAACTGCATTTGTATAAAAGCAGACACAAGCCAACACTTGGTAGAAAGCTGACCCCGGCAGTGTGGACGTTGGTGTGCCTGGAGACGGTGCAGACCTGCCCTGTGTGTCAGTGCAGCACGTCCACTTTTGCATAGGGCAGCATCTCTGAGCCTCTGGAGGAGTGACCACAGCAGACAGAAGCACAGACCTGTCCCTAGGGGAACACGGACTAAGCCCTGACCAGCGCGCGGTCCTGGGCCCCTTATGTGACTTCTCTCTGTGTGTCTGCAAAGTGGAGATGGTGATGTGGGAAGAGGTGGAACCGCATGAGGGAGTGTGTGGCAGGGATAGGGATGGGGAGGGGGGACAGGCTCAGGGCCAGGACCAGGGGACAGGGATGGGAGTGGGTGGGGCAGCGCAGCGCAGCAGCGCAGGCCGGGGGCCTATACCCGCCCCCCACAGCTGTGTGTGCTCTCAGTCATTGTCCTGGCTGCCCCGGATGTCAGCCTGGCCATGTGTGTGGTCTGGGGGGCCCCATTCGACCCTAGACGTCTGGGGCATTGCGGAGGCTGACAGTGTGGGTCCTGCTGAGCCTCATCGTGGAGAGGTGCTGGTGCTGCTCTGGGGCTGCGCTTCCTGTGGGGCCGTCGGTCAGCCTGTCAGTTCCCCCAGCTCTTCTGTCAGGTTCTGTGCCGCCTTTGGGTGCGTGCTTTGGTTGGGGCATCTCTACGCGGTCTTGGGAGGCTGGAGCTGCGTCAGGCCCATGGGCAAGTCCTCCTGCCCTGCCTGCCGGCCCTCCCCTCTCATTCCAAGGAGTGGCTGGTGGCTGGGCTGCTGTCTGGACCACTTGACCTTCCTTTGTCCTGGCTGTGTTCTGGGTTCCCCTTGTGGCCTCTTCAGCCTGAGGACACCTGGGAGGGGGTCTGGGGGTTGGGGGCTGGGGCTGGTCCCTCCTGCCCTGTCAAGGGTTCCATCCTGCTGGCAGCTCAGCCTCACGCCTGGGGAGGCTGGACCCAACCCTGTGCACGTCCGTGTGAAGGTGTGACTCTCTAGCGAGCTGTTCCACAGTAGGTGTTAAATGCTTCCCAGAGGGCCTCAGCCCCAGCTGAACTCCTCTTTGTGGGAGCAGGGCCCTTGGGTTCGGCCATGGGTGGCCTTTGGGCAGCTGGCTGCAAGCAGGCCTTAGGCCTGCGCTGGGGCTTTTCTTTGCGATGACGTTTCACGTGCCCCCAAGCGTCCTGTGTCAGCGCCCTGGGGTATTGCCAGTCAAGTGAGGGGCGGGGGGCAGGCCGTGTGTTGCTAGAGCCCCCCCCCCCCGTGCCTGCACATGGCTTTGCCTCCCTGGTGTGGAGGTCCTGGGCAGAGGTGGCTGTCTGAGGTTTTTTTAATCCTGCAGTAAGTTTCCCCAGCTGGTCCTGTTGGAGGCCCGTGCCAGGCTGTGTCCTGGCCTTGCTCTGCGGGAGGCCTGCTCAAAGCCCTGGGTGGCCCCATCCAGCCCTGCACCTTGATCCGTTCGGGTGGGAGGGTGATCAGAGCTGTGCTTCCCTCCACCCCTAGACGGCAGGTCACAGCCTGGACCTTTCCTCCAGAAGCTCAGCTGCGGGCCGTGTGCTTGTACGGGGCCCTCCCAGGTCTGCCCTGGCGGCCTACCATGCAGGGGTCTTGAGTGCCTGTCATGCGGGAGTGGGGAGGCTCAGCGCTTCTGAGTTGTTACCGCCTGTGCTGCCTCTGGGAGGTGGTCCCTCCTGGCCCCATCAGCCCTGAGCCCGGCCACAGACTGGCCAGGGGCTCTAGAGCCTGGAATGGCTCGGAAGAAATCCCGACAAGCCTGCTGGTGGGGTTGGCACCCCGGCCCTAAGGGGAGCCTTTGTGGACCCTCCCAGCTGTGGACCCCGTCCTGTAGGAGGCAGGCCCAGTGCCCTTGGCACATTGGTCAGGCCGTGCGTCTGTCTCTGAGGCTGTCTCTCCAGTGGGCTGGCCGTTGACTCCAGGTCTTTCCAACCCTCCGACTTCCGCATCCAGCTGTGAGGTCAGGCCTTGGAGGGGGCTCGCCACAGGGGTCTCCTTGGAGCGGCCGTGAGACATCACTCCTAGAAGCAGGAAGGTCATGTTCCCTAAGTCATGGGGTGCTTCTTGATGAACCACGTTCTTTCCATGAGGACTCTCCAGGTTGTAAAGCCCGCGGGGCCCATGCACACATGTGGGCATGAGCTGAGCAAAAGAGGTAAAAGGTGGGCTCGTGTGGGGAAGGGTCTTGGTGCCACGTCCACCGGTTTGTACCCTTTATGTGCAGCACGCGTTGGGGCGCCTTTCGGATTCTGGTGAATCAGTAGGCCAGCGCATCATCCCATGCAGGTTTACTGGCCTCGGCGCCTGGCCTGTGGGCCGGCCTTGCCCAGTGCCAGGGGCTTTGCAGGGGGCAGGCTGCAGAGGGACGCTCTGAGACGGGGCCAGGGTTCGGGCATGCAGGGGCCCCTGTCTCGGGAGGTGGCTCTCAGGAGGGTGTGACGGGGTCAAGACGTGGGTCAGGGAGGGGCCAGCGTCACTGGGAAGGGTGGTGAGGCAGCAGCCATGCCTAGGGGTGTGCGGTGTGGGGCGGGCTCTGGCTGCAGTACCGGGGGCCGCCGTGTTTGGGCCGGGTGCGAGGTGGAGTGAGGGGAGCACAGGGGACCAGGGAGACTGGCCGTTGGATGGGACGTAGGGTGAGAGACCCTGACCCTGAGTTTGGGGGGTAGGCGGGGTACTGGGGCTGGAGAGGAAGCGGGGACTGTTTTGGGGCAAGTCCTGGGGGCGCTGAGTTTGAGATGCTCACCAGCGCTGCAGGAGGCAGGGGGGCCTGGAGCTGGGGCGCTGTCTGGCCTGGGGCAGGGTTGTCAGGACCCCAGGCTTCCTGCAGGCACCAGAACCAGGGAGCAGGGACACGCTGTGATGGAGGGGGGAGCCCAGCAACTCAGGTGAGCCCAGAGTGTGCCAGTTGTGCTCTGGTCCCTGGGAGGGTACCACACCTAGGGAGCCGTGGCTGAAGACAGGTCTCAAGCACACGTGTGGTGGCAGAGGTGGGGGAGGGGTGGTGGCCGTGGGCAGCCTGTGGGCGGAGCTGGGCAGGAGTTGGGGCGCTCTGGGGGCTGGATCCCTTCCCTCTGCCCCGTGTCTGTAAAATGAGGAGCCGGTGGGACTCCACTCACCAGGGGTGTGGGAGTTGGCCCTGCCTGCCACCGCCCCCCCCCCCACGCCGTTAACGCTTGCTGGCCCCAGGCCTTGCTTGCCCCAGCCGTCCTTCCCTCCCTTCCCTCCCTTCC